ACATCACAAGGTGTTCGACAGTCTCTCGCCCCTCTCCACACTCGCATATAGGCGTCAGTACCTCTGGGACTCTCCTTTCGAATAAGAAAGCCCGAAGGCCTATGGCCCCGGTTCGAATCTGGATCAACAGTGAACTCTTCGCTCTGCTGAGGCCGTCGTGTCTCCTTAGGGTTTTGTCTTGGAACAGAGTCTCGTGCTGGTGGTCAAGGTCATCTGCGGGCCTCGTTGCTGTCCGGCCGTCTCGTTCTTTGAGCCACCTCTCTCCCCAGGCCTCCTCCATTCCTCTGTCCGTGTCGGCAGTCCCTCCCGTCCAAACTGCAATTGTGTTGGCGGCTTTTTCTACCGCTGTGGGCTCCTGCGGCCCAAAGGCTCGCGGTCGGCTCCTGTTATCCGTCCTCGAGCTGAGTATCTGATATATTTTCTAACAATATACGAATGTAGATGAGAATGGGTTCATAGAGGGCTAAGGTCTTAACGGCTTTACGCTTTGGAAACGCTGAAACCAGGGTTACGTTGGTGAAATACCCCGACTCTCGCATTTAGGCCACTATCCTCGAGTATATATCGTTAGGGAATAAGAGATTGTTAATTGTTGACGGCTCTAGAATTATATAATAGATGATTTTATATGGGCTCTCACTAGGCGTACATCTATGTGTGCTTAATTAAACCAAGCTGGCTAATAGAATCAACAAAAATACATCTAACGTAGCATAGCCCCGCGCCTTCGATTGTATGCAAAATAGAATCTTAGAAAGCCGTCTAGCCGCCGAGAAGACCGTTGAGTCGTAAAGGCATAGCTTCCAGGCTTCAGATACGAGTTAATTGACTTGAATACAGCGTCACGTGACTCGAAGCAGCCCTTGGGAGGGAGGTAATGTCTAGGAGGGTGGTCATTATAGTGCTTTGGTATTGACTTTTGACGCTGACTTTGGCGCTGACTTTACCGCGGGGCAATGCTGCGTTATACGCAAATTTGTTGATTATATCAGCCATTCTGGGTTTATATAACGTATATTATCAGGGAGTGACCCATATCAGCGAGTGACTCAGCTTAACAGGTTTAGCAGGGGCTGCATCCAAATGTAGAATAAGAAATTGATATAGCTCCTAACAATTTTCTTATCAAATTTTGGCCTGCAGCCCGCTAAAGTCACTCGCGGATATGGGTCACTCGCTGATAATATACGTTAAGCGCATATGGATGTGCGGTGTGCCGGGGCTCAGGGACTGAACTTGCGTATCCTCTAGTATTGGTGTGGTTGCACGAGGAACCAAACTGTGGGCAGGGTGCAGCCCTGAGTGAAACCCTGCAGAAGGGCTGCGCACTGACCACTGGCAAGCCACCACTGGGCTTGCCAGCTCCTCATCGAAGCTACAGGACTGCGACCCTAACCCTGGCACGGGCAATGCCCGTGACATGCGGTTCTCACTAGATGCGCGGGCCCGGCTCCTACTAAGTTACATAGTGTAAGCGTATAGTTCGTTATATATCTTTAGTGGACTCTAGTTATACGGGGCTCGCACTTATAGATTACCGGGTTTCGGTTAGATATCGCCTTCTAATACGACGATTGCCGTAAAAGACGTCGTTCTTCTTAGGCAACGGGGGAGTTATTGGCGTACACTGAGTGGGGAACCGAGGCTCAATTATAGGTCGGCAACCACGGTAAGCGAGTTACCTTCTTCATTACAACTTCAGCAACAGATAGACCCATTATCTCGCCTCCTATAGTTACAGTGGTAAACCCTTAGAGCAACTAGGACAGTTTTTAGCTTGACCCTTTCGAAGACACCATAGTCGCCGTTGCCTTCTACATTACACTATATTGCCAAACAAGAGGCGCTAAGCGCAAAAGCCGCAAACGAACCATAGACCGCGCCTTCGCCTTCGCCTTTGCCATCACCATATCGAACGGACTATAGAAGTCATGGCGAAGTGTAAATCAGACTAGGAACCGGAGTAGATTACCTATATATCGGCTATAGCCTATACAAGAGGTCCTAATACCGTTATAAATTGCACTAGTGACAGAGACTGTAGGAACTATAGCGATCTGGCATTGATTGGTAAACGGACTACGCTGGCCTTTCACACCGCTATACGCAAGAGCCATTATAATACCAAACGCTATACTGACATCGCCGGCACTAGCTAAGTTAGTAGCAGGAGCCTAGTTAGCGGCCCCTAGGTAGCGGGCGATAGCACTAGCCCACTACTCCTATCGCCCGGCTGGGAGGTATCGATAGGGAAGACATCTAGTTATAAGTGCACCCAACTTCTTACTACAGTGCGGGTCTAAAAGTCGGATCTAAGCTGCCCCGCACTCCAACCCCCTCCATTTACCTCAGCACTTAACAAAGGATATCGCAGCAACTACAAATCCAACGAGAAATCTAATTGTATTTGCTAGAAGCCTAGGTTTTGAGCTTCAGTACCGTGTATACCACCTTCGAGCCTTTTTAACAGCAGCTATCCTTCTGATATATTGTTGATTAGGCCGTCAATATAGTAAGTACCCCATGCTAGCAAAGTTTTCAATATCAGTTGGTTTTGCTTAAATGTCTAGAGGTCTAGGCAGGCTTATCGCAAATAGCGCCTTATCTAGGCCCAGATGTACTCAATTGGGTTTAAATCAGGATTATAAGCAGGTTATCGTCGAGCCAGGAGATAGCCTAAGAGCAGAGCCATTCCGCTATTGACTTGCAGATAATGAATTTGCGTGTTGTCTTGCTAGAAATGCTATACCTAATCGTATAAAGAAGACGGCCCTCCTTAAGGGCAGCTTGGTAGGACCAAGCTATAACGTACATGATAAGCGAACGTCCCAGACAAGCGAACGTCCCACAAATCCACTCCTTCATGCCTTTCATCTTTTTATCGACTTTCCCTCACAACGCAATATGCCCCTAAAAAACGACAAAGCCCAAGTGCACTTAGCCCTTCAAGCAATCCAGAATGATCCGAAACTGAGCCTAAGAGCTGCAGCTAGGATCTATTCTGTGACCACGAAAAGCTCAGTCGCCGAAGACGCGGTAAACATTCACGACGCGACATTCCGGCTAACTCGCGCAAATTAACCGACCTGGAGGACTTGGTTATTGTTCGGTATGTCCTCGATCTGGATTCCAAAGGATTCTCTCCCCGCGTGTCTAGTGTAGAAGATATGGCCAATTGACTACTTGCCGATCGCGACGCGGGACGCGTCGGGGCGCGTTGGGCGCACAACTTCGTTAAACGACAACCAGACATCACGACCCGATTCAATCGGAGATACGACTACCAGAGGGCCCTGTGCGAAGATCCAGATATTATTCGTGGCTGGTTCGCGCTTGTACAGAACACAATCGCGAAGTATGGTATCCAAGAGGCGGATATCTACAACTTTGACGAGATTGGGTTTTTGATGGGCGTTATCTCGACTGTACTGGTTGTTACCGGCACTGAACGGCGTGGTAGACGGAAGACACGGCAGCCAGGAAACCGCAAATGGTCCATCGTGATCCAGTGTATCAATACCTTAGGCTGGGTACTCCCGCCGTTCATCATCCTGGAGGGCACCTATCACATCTCTTCTTGGTACGAGGATAGCCAATTGCCGAACGACTGGGTGATTGCTACATCCGAAAATGGTTGGACTACCAATGAGATTGGTCTGGAATGGATCAAACACTTCGACAAGCACACCAAAGGTCGAACAACCGGGGTTTATCGCCTCCTCATGTAACGGGCTGGGCCCGGTGCGAGCCTCGGCGACTCTCGGCCAATACCAAGACCCCTGATGAGGCTATTCCCACTCGCCCCACAGCACACCGAACCTTCTAGCAACGCGCTCAGACCAGCGCGCCTACGAGGATAAGTATGCTTGCGAGCTACCAGAGTCTGTCGTCTCTCCTTTTCTTCTCCAAGTTCAGTGTACTCGTAGAGTCGTCATCAGCTAGTTGCAATATACTACCTGAGACCGTTACACCTCATCCTCGACGGCCATGGAAGCCACCACTCGACAGACTTTGAGCTCTACTGCAAGGAGAACAACATCCTTACCCTCTGCATACCTCTTCACTCATCTCACAAGCTCCAGCCAGCTGATGTTGGGTGTTTCAGCCCGCTCAAAGCGGCATACGGCAAGCAGATCGAGGAGATGATGCGGGCAAGCATAACCCACATTACCAAAGAGGACTTCCTTCTCGCATTCTTTGCAGCTCACCAGGCAACCATGACGTACGACAATATTTGGGGAGGATTTCGGGGTGCAGCGCTTGTTCCTTTTGATCCCGAAGTAGTAACCTCCCAGCTCGACATCCGTCTCAAGACGCCGACACCCCCCAACTCACGGCCCGGCAGTGCCCATACCTGGGTATCCAACACGTCGAACAATCCAATCGAAGCCGCTTCACAGACCACTCTCATCAAGACCCGGATTGCGCAGCATCAAGATAGCTCTCCAACAGAGATTTAAAGGGCTGTCGATGTACTTGCGAAAGGGACGTCGAGGATAATGCATCAGCTTGCATTATTGAAGGCAGAGAACCAAGCCTTCGA